CTTTTTTCTTCCCTCCAGTGAGAGTAACTCTGCTCCCTTTCAAGCCAGTGGCTGCTGCTTCGCAGTCTCTCAGAGTGAGTTCTCTCCCAGAAGTCACCTCACTCCCTCATGCAGTAGAGCCCTTGGGAGGTGTGCCAACTGATGTTTCACACATGTTTGGATGGGGCAGAACCCCGCATGTGCAGCCAGCCTGCAGTCGGGGGAAAAAGGTAACAAATATGAAGTGCCTAGCATAGCACCTACTCAGTACATTCAGGCTTTCATTCATTACTACATAGGGCATTCACCAATAATTTTTCTATTAAAGTATTTCTTTTCAATGTATTTATTTATTTTAATTTTATTCATTCTTTTTGAGACAGAATCTCACTCTGTCTCACAGGCTGGAGTGCAGTGGCACGATCTTGGCTCACTGTAACCTCTACCTCCTGGGTTCAAGTGATTCTCCTGCCTCAACCTCCCAAGTAGCTGGGATTACAGGTGCCCACCACCATGCCCAGCTAATTTTTGTATTTTTAGTAGAGATAAGGTTTCATCACATTGGCCAGGCCAGTCTCAAACTCCTGACCTTAGGTGATCCACCCACCTCAGCCTCCCAAAGTGCGGGGATTACGGGCATGAGCCTGTAATTTATTTATTTATTTATTTATTTATTTATTTATTTATAAGACAGGATCTCAATTTGTCCCCCAGGCTGGTGTGCAGTGGCATAGTCATGACTCACTGTAGCCCCAAACTCCTGGGCTCAAGCAATTCTCCCAACTCAGCCTCCTGAGTAGCTAGGACTACAGGTGTGCACCACCACACCCAACTAATTTCTTATAGAGACAAGGTCTACCTATGTTGCCCAGGTTGGTCTCAAACTCCTGGCCTCAAGTGATCCTCCCGCCTTGACCTCCCAAAGCACTAGGATTACAGACATGAGCCACCATGCTCGGTCTCGTTTGAATTTAATTAAGAGCCTATTATCATCTAGGCACTGGGCTAGGAGGAATGGAAAATAACAAGATACATATAATTTGATTTCTACTTTAGGAAATATAGAATTTAGAGAGGAGAAAAGACACCCAGGCCAACATAGTACAGGGTTCAATAGAATGCACGTCCAAAGGTTGAGGAGAATAGATTCCTTTTCTCTGGTGAAATGGAGCAGGTGGCATCCAGTGAAGTCTGGAGACTGGGTAGGACTTCTACCACTGCACAAGGCAGCATGGCATTCCAGAGGAAGGGAGAGACGTGGGGAAGAAGAGGGAATACCACACTCAGGGATAGTTGGCTGGAAAGAGAGATGAGAGCAGGGATGAGAAACCAGTCTGGAAAGGGAAGCTGAGGCAAATTTCTGATGGCTTTGAAGTGAAGGGAGACCAACTAGAGGGCTATCGTAGCAGTCTAAGTCTGACCATAACTGCTCCCACTAGCATGGGACTCATGAGGAGCCAAAGGAAGGAAGTAGGCACAAGTCGACACAAGTGTGTGCAGCATGGGGGGTATTTGGGAAGTGGAGGAGGCCTGAAATAGCTGCCTGCCTTGGGGCGAGGGCTGGCACAAGGCCACAGAGGGTTAGTGACATTGCTCTTCTTGTCCCTTCTCTCTAGCAGGTATGTGGTTGGAGCTTCTGTTGTAAATCTTGCCCTGCGTACTATCTGGAGACAGGGCTTCATTGGAGGACAGCTGCACATCTAATTTTAGGTTCATGCTAAAGAAGTAGGGCAGGTTTAATCTCCACAGGAGGGAGGAGTCATCGTGACACAACACTGGGCATCTGCTCCCACAAAGACATCCCGGAATAACTCTCCCATAGCATGCTAGCATTTGGAGGATGATATGTAGTAGAGCTATCCATGTCCCTTGACATGCTATTTCATCCCCTCCCTGCAAGACCCCCCTCGAGCCCACAGGTTCTGTCATCCAAATGGCTTGAGTAGAATTCATCTGGGTATGTCTTAGTTACCATTCGTAGGATCGAGTTTGTGAAAGATGGAAATTGGCAGGAAGTTCTCATCTCCAGACTCTTCCCTAGCTTCTGCTGTCTGATCTGCAGCAGACAACCAGATATCCCACAGTATTTGTACTAATAATGATTAACAATGTCATAGCATGTCAAAGCGCACAATGTCTTTACACATTATTTTTTATTGCCCATGATAAACCTAGGAGGTAAGACTTGACATTCATGCTTTAAGAATGTCAAAGTTTAGTTAAGAAAAGTTAAATGACTTGCCAAGGAATCTGGTACAAGGAGGCTTACAGAGCAGGTCTTCCAATTTCATTACCTTTGTTCTTATCTTGCTGTTGATGAGTAAGGATAAGATAGAAAACAAGGTAACTTTGGGAAAGAATTCAAAAGCAGAGGGAATAGATATTTAAAACTGCTCTATCATTAAGCAAATTGTTCCACGGGTATAAGCCATTTAGATGGAAAAGAAATTTAAGCAAACTTTAACTACATATGATTGTCTTACATATGATGGTTGTAGAAATAAAATGCTGGCAATAGACTGTGTAAGATATGCCAGTGGTGGCTTAAGAGCTGAGGCTCATCTGTTAGACAGGGTTTAAATCCCAGCTCTCTCACCTAAAACTCAGCATGTTACTTAACTTCTTTCAGTTTCAATTTATTTTCCAGTAAAATTGGGGGCAATAATAGCACCTGTCTTGCAGAGCAGATGAGAGGCTCAAAGGAGGTAATGCATGCTCAGAGCTTAGCACAGTGCAGGGCACCTAATAAACACCATGCCAATGACAGCTGTATTGTAACGGTTGGTGGAAAAGCCTCTTTCCTACAGAGGTTTGGTTTTAATATGGCATTTGACTGAAGAAGGGGAACCACTTTGCCCCAAATTTACAAAACAAACCAGACATGTAGAAATATGTCTGGGGTCCCTGGAAGGCTCCTTTTGTTATTGGAAGCACCCTACTCCCACTCCATTAATCCCTGGTGTTACCTTCCCACTTGCCTCTGGCACTTTGATCAGATCTGTGCCTGAATTCAACTCCCTTTGCAGGAGGAAAAGAAAGCATTAAAAATGGCAACTAGCATGAGTCTCTGAGGAGGAGGTTTCTGTGCTTTGTTGATTTCTCGCCCCTACCCCACAAGCTTGGCCTGAATGAGGAAGACAATAAAAGCTCTGAGCACCCCAGAAAGGAGAGACCTAGTGCCTTGATACCCATGGTTATATGGGATGAGCTTCCTAGGGGAGCCTTCCAAACAACATGGTACCCAAGTGGCAAAGAGGAGAAGACTGAGTGAGACCCGTATGTGGATGAGCCCAGCAGACATCACAGAGATTTTCACATAATCTGAAGGAAGAAACCAGATATTCCTGACCTTCTGAACAGCTGAATTATGACAGCATCAGATTAGAAGAAGCCTTGTGAATAGGGCAGAAAGATAAAGTTCATAGATTGGTAACCAAAGAACATGTTGAGATTGCAGATGTCAGCAGCAAAGGCCTGCACAGAATGATAAAAATGAGACATATCCAACTCATATATATGTCCAAATGGACATGAGATGATTGAGGACAGTCTGTGTTTTTCCATCAACACCCCGGCACTGCCATGGCTTCTTAGAACTCAGATATACCTCAGGAAGCGGCGGGAGAAGAGTGAAATCCCTGGATGAACCAAAGAATCACTAATTTGAGTTAGATTCCTGAAAAGACACTGGTTTATATTTCTTGTTATCTGGCATAAATGTAAATTTAAAACAGAGTGAAGTATAATTATAGAAAATAAATTTTTTGGTCCCTGAGTTTTTTATTTTGAAGTTTTTTACCTACTAGATGAGGGTTCTTAGTAGAATTTAATTGAATTTCACTTTGCAATAAATTCACACCCTAGAGAAGATGCTTCCAAAATGAGAGACATAGAACACTGACCCCCCCTCCTTCCCCTAAAAAAAGTGATCTCAAAAAAAAGAAAAAAAGACAGTTCCCCGACTAAATCAATTTTGGATCAGGGTATACTAAATAACAGATATTCTCAATATGTGTTGGCTTTACAAAGACTCTGAGAAGTCTTACAGTAAAGAAACCAGTATTCAATCCAGTATTTCTCAACTTATTGGATGAGATTTTTTTTTCACTGAGATATAATGTATTTCACTCTAGGAAATGCTTGGTGTAGAGAGCTGCAGGTGAGAATGGATGATAATGGCATAACTGTAGTGACCCAAGAGAAAAATAATCAGGTGGAACATGAGCCTAAGATTGATGCTAGGATGCAGAAAATATCATGGTTGGGCATGGAAATGTTACTCGCCAAATGACCCCATCTATCTTGGAAATTGGCTGAGTTTCTTCTAATATTCTTTCAAGGTCCTCGCTGAGTCACTCCCATAAATGATGGATCTTAATGGTCCCGAATATCTCTAAAGCCTTCATGTCTAACCATCTCCCTTTTTAACTTGATGATTCACTCCACTCCAGCAAGCAGAGGCAGGGAGAACAGGCTGAGTTTCATTTTCCAATCATAAAAATACATCTGAAGACTAGCACATGACCATGATGGACTATTATAAGGCCCAGAACTCATGCCAGAAGTTTAACTGGCTGTCTCTTTAGAGACCCTGTCATTTCTGAAATGTCTTTTGAGGATTATATTTATTTATGGTAGAGTTGCTATGAGTAAAATGTATATACCTGAGGGCTTCAGGCAAAAATAACATGAGGTTTTGAGTCTGAAAGATCTGGATTCAAATCTCAACTCTACTATTTCCTAGCACGGTGACCTTGGATAAGGCTCTCGACACATTTTAACCTCCTCGTCTGAAAAAGAGAATAATAATATACCCATTCAGGGTTATCATGAGAATTAGAGGAAATGACTCATGGGTGTGGAGGGATGTAAGCTGGGAAGGGATAAAGACATGGTACCATATTTCCAAGGGAGAAATGATCACTAAACTGAGCTGGAAACATCATGAAAATATATGTGGGGCAATCTCCATCTCTCCGTCTGTTACAAAAAGGGCAGAAGTATTACATAGCACTCTGTACCTGATTGTTTGGGTGCGCTTTTGGGTATAAGGAGTAATAACCTTGAAAAGCAGTTCCATGGCTCCGTTAATTCCCAGCATGGCTCCCATGGAGACTAAGAAAGACAAAAGCACAGTAGTTATGGTCACAAGTGGATGAGTTAAGGCTCAATACCTCCTTTAAATCTTTAAGGGGCAACCTGATAAACAAGATAGCTCCCTTTCTTTTCTACCCTGGTTGCACGTTCCTCTACAATTTCATACTCGGGTCTCCCACATGACTAAGGTAATGACTTGACTATGCCCCAACTAGAATGTCAATGAAGAATCAGTTCTTCCTGCCCAGCAGTAACTAGACTGGGAAATTTTTGCCTTTTTGGCCAACTGGGTGGTTATAAAAACATTGCCATAGATCTGAATGATAGAAAGAAACTCAAAAGAGGTATCTGGTTAGATAAATACAACTTTTGGATGTTACTCTTGTCTCCAAGGATGCCCCAGCTTCTCTCCAATATTCCCAGGACCCTACTCCACTTAGATCACTTTAGGTAGAGCTCTGCTCATGTCAAAAAATAAGGAGTCCACAGGATACAAAATAGAGCCAGTAAGCAGGAGGACAAAATTTTCAGTGGTACAAGGAAAGAGGGTTATCTTTTAAGGTGTGACTCTTGTCTGTCTTTCCTCCATTGGACTTGTGTTTTTAAGACAAAGGCCTATGAATGCCTCGTGTTTTAGGCTAGCCTTGATCTGAGAAAAGTAGGAACAAGAAATCTTAGAGAAGCAAAGAGAGGGAAACGAGGGTGGCTGACACTGAATTGCTCCAACCCTCAGGAAAGGGAGCTAAATGGAAATCTGAAGACTCCTCATCCCACTACAGTCTTTCAGATAGGGACTGCGACTGATGTCTTTGCTATTGCAGAGTGCATGTTCCTGGAACATCCACTCTGCATATGTCCCTTCTGAGGCTAGTACATGAAGTAATTGCCTGGATCAAAATTCAGAGATTTGGCATCCTAGTCTGGTCCATCAATCTTCCACTCTTGTGGCTACTCACTCAGCTCTTGCTTCCGAATTGGGAAAACATACTAGAGAAAACTCTTGGCAAGTAATTCAAAAAAACTCTGGTATTGAGTAAGGGAAGAGTTAATTTTAAAAGCACTGATTCTAACATGGAAGATTTTAGGCTTGAAATTGGAAGAAGATAACAATAAGAAATCCTCACTGAGTTCACCTTTGTGGGTGCCTGTCCGAGGTTAGAGCTCTGGCAGCTCTGTAAACGTCCTCATTGGCCATCTGAGAACTTCTGAAGGGTTCATTGGCTCTCACAGACTCATTAGGGTTCCAGCCAACTCCTTCTGAAGATAGGAGCTGTTTAGAAAGCTTTGCTGGAACATTCAACAGTGGCTAATAATTCATGGAAAAGATAGTAATCTACAGGCTTCTTGAACTCTGCTCGCCTCTCATCAGTAAAGTCAATGTATAGAGAGTAACAGTATAATTTTTTAAAATACCTTATGGAACAGTGAGTTGGTATAATCAACAAAGGCTTAGAAGATGAATCAGATAGCCACCTCCTCATACCCACAGGAAAATCCCAGGACTTATCAGAACTCCAGCTGAAGGAATTTTTCTATATCTCCATAACCATTATATTTAAGGAAGGCAAGTTTTTCAGCCTATTTATGCTTTAGGAAACCAGGAAATGCTTCACATTTCAGTCTGCTGGCACACTGCAAACATGGGTGGCACATCTTCTGTCTATTCGTTAATGAGAGTTGTCCTTTATACAAAGCCACAGTTCCTCTTTTCCTTTATTAGAGTTGGGTGTATATAAATCTACTCAGCCTTTCCCCAGTGCTCTCTGGTTTTCAGGTCAATATATGGGAGATGGGTGAGTAGAGGCTCCATCTGTGAACAAGGATTCAAGTGTCTATCCCGTTATTCCCCCAGAAAGACTTTCTTTTTATGAGTCCTCCATGTTTATTAAGAGAATTTACCAACGAAAATCAAGTTATTGTGGCCGGGCACAGTGGCTCACACCTGTAATCCCAGCACTTTGGGAGGCTGAGGTGGGTGGATCACCTGAGGTCAGGAGTTCAAGACCAGCGTGGCTCTGTCTTTACTAAAATTACAAAAATTAGCCAAGTGTAGTAGTGAACACCTGTAATCCCAGCTACTCAGGAAGCTATAAGGCACAACTATCATTTGCACCCAGGAGACAGGCTGCAGTGAGCCGAGATCGTGCCACTACATTGCAGCTTGGACAACAGAGCGAGACTGTCTCAAAAAAAAAAAAAAAAAAAAAGAAACAAAGGAAAAAAAAAATCAGGCATTTTAGTCATTCTTGGGGTAATTAGAAATAAAAAGTCACCTATTAACTCCCCATATCTGTACTCATTCTACTACTTCAAAAATGAGGCCATTAAGGTGGGCCCTAGTCTAATGTGGACTTATGTCCTTATAAAAAGGGGGAATTTGAACACACAAAGAAACATCAAGGATGCCCAAGCACAGAAGAAAGACCATGTGAGGACACAGGGAGCAGACGGTCATCTGGAAGCCAAAGAGAGGGGCCAGTAGAAACCAAACCTGCCGACATCTTAAGCTCCAATTTGTAGTCTTCAAAAATGTGAGAAAAAAAGCACACGGTAGCTCACGCCTGTGACCCCAGTACTTTGGGAGGCCGAGGTGGGCGGATCACCTGAGATTAGGAGTTCAACACCAGCCTGACCAACATGGTGAAACCCTGTCTCTACTGAAATACAAAAACTAGCCAGCCATGATGGCAGCTCCCTGCGATCCCAGCTACCCGGGAGGCTGAGACAAGAGAATTACCTGAACCTGGGAGGTAGAGATTGCAGTGAGCCAAGGTCACACCAGTGCCTGGGCAACAGAGTGAGACCTCATCTCAAAAAAAAAAAAAAGTGAGAAAATACATTTCTTTTGTTTAAGTCACATAGACTGTGGTATTTTGTTAAGGCATTAAGGCAGCCCTAGCAGAGTAATAGTAATCATTATTACTACTATGATTTTGTAAAGGATGAAACTGAGATTCAACACGTTAAGTACTCATGCTTCATGACTCATAAGAAATAGAATCACAGTCAAACTCAGGTCTTTTTGGCTCTAAGCCCACGTTCTTTTCCCTATCGACTATATAACCTTAAATAACTGTCACTTTCATTTCATAGGAAGGGAACTCAGAAAGAAGAAATGAAAGTCTATGCTCATTACATATGAGATAGGAGATATAGGATCTAATGTATTAGTAAAAAGTTTCCATATGGAATAGAATTAACATGAGTTCTGGAGTTAGAAATTCCGCCCTCATGACTTTTTATCTATATGAATTCAAGCAATTGCTTCACCTTTTTTTTTCTTTTTAAGACAAGGTCACCCAGGCTGGAGTGCAGGCGCATGATCACTGCTCACTGCAGCCTTGACTTCCTGGGTTCAAGTGATTCTCCTACCTCAGCCTTCCAAGTAGCTGGAACTATAGGCACGTGCCACCACACCCAGATATTTTTTGTATTTTTAGTAGAGACCAAGCTGGTCTCAAACTCCTGGGCTCAAGGGATCTGCCCACCTCATCCTCCCAAAGTGCTGAGATTACAGGCATGAGCCACCATGCCTGGCCCTGCTTTGCTCTTTAAAGTTTCTCCTTCTAAGCTATAAAATTACGGGTCTAAATACAAAATTACTATGATAATTAGAAATAAATCAAATCAGGAGATAGCAAATAAGTATCAGCTGAGCTATGATGTTCCTAATAATTACCTGGAGGACCCTGTTGAGAAGGATCACAGGTTTTTTTAAATCGTAAGGGATGTTGTAATCAATGAGCAATTTCAGGAATATGGTAGGGAGATCTGTGATGTGAGAGTCATTCTACCCAGATACAACACTTCAGTGTGACAAGGACTAAATAAAGTCTGCCCTTCTCCTGTCATATCTTTTTTACCTTGTAGTACTCATAGAAAAGCCTAGAATGCTGTAATGTGTGACTGTCAAGAAGAAACAATATTGAAGTCCATCTCTAGGAGCAGACTCAAGAGCTCTACCTGGCTAAGGATAAAATGAAGAAATAACTTCTCACCTTCACAGCCTCTGGATTGTCAGCCTCCTTTATTTATCTGGCTGGGACCATCATGTGAATCTCTCACCCATGCTTTTCTTCCAAGCAGACCCTCACGCAGTTTCCATGTGTCCCAGCCCTGGTTTGGAAGCCATCCCCGAGAGCCACAATAGAGTCACTTACCACTGGAGGCAAACACACGCAGAGCCCAGAGACAGTGAAGGAGGTTCTGGTCATGGGATAAGTTCTTCCTGGCCAGAATCAATGTCACATCAAGTGCTTCCAATTCCAGGGCCTTCCGTCCAATCTTTTTATCTAAGAACACAAATCAATCTATCTTAGCTGCACTTCACATTGATTCTGGATTGTACAATGTGTGGAGTGGAGGAAGGGGAAGATGGTGAAGGAGGAGGATAATCATAGCCAAAGACATTTTTCAAACCTAGTGACAAATGCTGCTAAATATGTCCCCACTAGAACCAAATGAATCAAAAGAGCTAATTCAGGCTACACATATTTACGTGGAAGCTTGCGAGTTGAATAACTCTCAAGCCCCTATATTTAGGTTGTCCTCATACATTAACCACAGTTCAAATGGGAATAAAGTTTTTTCTTTAAGACAATTCTAGAATTGAGAGTATTTAATATTAATATAATTCTTGATATAACATTCAAATGTAATGTGTCAACTTGTATTGGATCTTGCTTTGAATATGTCTATAAAAGACAGTTGGGAACATTTGGAGAAATTGGAATGAATATAAATTACGCATGTATTTTTAATTTTATTAGGTTTGTAATAATGGTATTGTGATTATGTAGGGAAATGTCTCTTTTCAAAGAAATGCACTTGAAAGGATTTAGGAAGAAAATGCTACCTGCAATTTCTCTTAAAATATTTCAGATAAAAATAAATAGGTGAAGAAAATATGGCAAAATGTTAACAATGGTTAGAACTAAGTTTTATGTATATAAGAGGCCATCTTTCTATATGAGAGAAAGTTTTCATAATAAAAAGTCAAAACACATTTTTAAGAAAATAAAATTTTCCCCTCTAATATTTCTTTGTTTCATTTTTATAATACTTTAATTTCTAGGGTACATGTGCACAACGTGCAGGTTTGTTACATATGTATACATGTACCGTGCTGGTTTGCTGCACCCATCAACCTGTCATTTACATTAGGTATTTCTCCTAATGCTATCCCTCCCCCAGTCTTCCACCCCTTGACAGGCCCTGGTGTGTGATGTTCCTTGCCCTGTGTCCAAGTGATCTCATGGTTCAATTCCCACCTATAAGTGAGAACATGCGGTGTTTGGTTTTCTGTCCTTGTGACAACTTGATAAGAATGATGGTCTCCAGCTTCATCCATGTCCCTGCAAAGGATACGAACTCATCCTTTGTTATGGTTACATAGTAGTCCATGGTATATACGTGCCACATTTTCTTAATCCAGTCTATCATTGATGGACATTTGGGTTGGTTCCAAGTCTTTGCTGCTGTGAATAGTGCTGCAACAAACATACATGTGCATGTGTCTTTGTAGTAGCATGATTTATAATCCTTTGGGTATATGCTCAGTAATGGGATTGCTGGGTCAAATGGTAATTCTAGTTCTAGATCCTTGAGGAATCACCACACTGTCTTCCACAATGGTTGAACTAATTTACACTCCCACCAACAGTGTAAAAGCATTCCTATTTCTCCACATCTTCTCCAGCATCTGTTATTTCCTGACTTTTTAATGATCACCATTCTAACTGGTGTGAGATGGTATCTCATTGTGGTTTTGGTTTGCATTTCTCTGATGACCAGTGATGATGAACATTTATTTGCATGTCTGCTGGCTGCATAAAGGTCTTCTTTGGAGAAGTGTCTGTTCATATCCTTTGCCCACTTTTTGATGGGGTTGTTTTTTTCTTGTGAATTTCTTTGAGTTCTTTGCAGATTCTGGATTAGCCCTTTGTCAAATGGGTAGATTGCAAAATTTTTCTCCCATTCTGTAGGCTGCCTGTTCACTCTGATGTTAGTTTCTTTTGCTGTGCAGAAGCTCTTTAGTTTAATTAGATCTCATTTGTCTATTTTGTTTTTTGTTGCCATTGCTTTTGGTGTTTTAGTCATGAAGTCATTGCCCGGGCCTATGTCCTGAATGGTACTGCCTAGGTTTTCTTTTTGGGTTTTTATGGTTTTAGGTCTAATATTTAAGTCTTTAATCCATCTTGAATTAATTTTTGTATAAGATATAAGGAAAGGATCCAGTTTCAGCTTTCTATATATGGCTAGCCAGTTATCCCAGCACCATTTATTAAATAGGAAATTCTTTCTCCATTTCTGGTTTTTGTCAAGTTTGTCAAAGATCAGATGATTGTAGATGTGTGGTTTTGGTACCAGTACCATGCTGTTTTTGTTATGGTAGACTTGTGATATAGTTTGAAGTCAGGTAGCTTGATGCCTCCAGCTTTGTTCTTTTTGGTTAGGATTGTCTTGGCAATGCAGGCTCTTTTTGGTTCCATATGAACTTTAGTTTTTTCCAATTCTGTGGAGAAAGTTATTGGTAGCTTGATGGGGATGGCAGTGTATCTATAAATTACTTTGGGCAGAATGGCCATTTTCACAATATTGATTCTTCCTATCCAGGAGCACGGAATGTTCTTTCATTTGTTTGTGTCCTCTTTTATTTCCTTGAGCAGTGGTTTGTAGTTCTCCTTGAAGAGGTCCTTCACATCCCTTGTAAGTTGGATTCCTAGGTATTTTATTCTCTTTGTAGCAATTGTGAATGGGAGTTCACTCATGATTTGGCTCTCTGTCTGTTAACGGTGTATAGGAATGCTTGTGATTTTTGCATGTTGATTTTGTATCCTGAGACTTTGCTGAAGTTGCTCATCAGCTTAAGGAGATTTTGGGCTGAGACGATGGGGTTTTCTCAATATAAAATCATGTCATCTGCAAACAGGGACAATTTGACTTCCTCATTCCCTAATTGAATACCCTTTCTTTCTTTCTCTTGCCTGATTGCCCTGGCCAGAACTTCCAACACTATGTTGAATAGGAGTGGTGAGCATGGGCATCCTTGTCTTGTGCCGGTTTTCAAAGGGAATGCTTCCAGTTTTTTTGCCCATTCAGTATGATATTGGCTGTGGGTTTGTTATAAATAGCTCTGATTATTTTGAGATAAGTTCCATCAGTACCTAGTTTATTGAGAGTTTTTAGCATGAAGGACTGTTGAATTTTGTCAAAGGCGTTTTCTGCAACTATTGAGATAATCATGTGGTTTTTGTCATTGGTTCTGTTTATGTGATGGATTACATTTATTGATTTGTGTATGTTGAACCAGCCTTGCATCCCAGGGATGAAGCCTATTTGATCATGGTGGATAAGCTTTTTGATGTGCTGCTGGATTTGATTTGCCAGTATTTCATTGAGGATTTTCACATCGATGTTCATAAGGGATATTGGTCTAAAATTCTTTTTGTTGTGCCAGGCTTTGGTATCAGGATGATTTGGGCCTGATAAAATGAGTTAGGGAGGATTCCCTCTTTTTCTATTGATTGGAATAGTTTCAGAAGGAATGGTACCAGCTCCCCTTTATATCTCTGGTAGAATTCGGCTGTGAATCCATCTGGTCCTGGACTTTTTTCGGTTGGTAGCCTATTAATTATTGCCTCAATTTCAGAGCCTGTTATTGGTCTATTCAGAGATTCAACTTCTTCCTGGTTTAGTCTTGGGAGGGTGTATGTGTCCAGGAATTTATCCATTTCTTCTAGATTTTCTCGTATATTTGCATAGAGGAGTTTATAGTATTCTCTGATGGTAGTTTGTATTTCTGTGGGATCTGTGGTGATATCCCCTTTATCATTTATTATTGCATCTATTTAATTCTTCTCTCTTTTCTTATTAGCCTTGCTAGTGGTCTATCAATTTTGTTGATCTTTTCAAAAAACTAGCTCCTGGATTCATTGATTTTTTGAAGGGATTTTTGTGTCTCTATCTCTTTCAGTTCTGCTCTGGTCTTAGTTATTTCTTGCTTTCCGCTAGCTTTTGAATTTATTTGCTCTTGCTTCTCTAGTTCTTTTCATTGTGATATTAGGGTGTTTCTTTCCTGCTTTCTCTTGTGGCCATTTAGTGCTATAAATTTCCCTCTACACACTGCTTTAAATGTGTCCCAGAGATTCTGGTATGTTGTATCTTTGTTCTCATTGGTTTCAAAGAACATCTTTATTTCTGCCTTCATTTCATTATGTACCCAATAGTCATTCAGGAGCAGGTTGTTCACTTTCCACGTAGTTGTGCGGTTTTGAGTGAGTTTCTTAATCCTGAGTTCTAATTTGATTGCACTGTGGTCTGAGAGACAGTTTGTTGTGATTTCTGTCCTTTTACATTTGCTAAGGAGTGCTTTACTTCCAATTATGTGGTCAATTTGGGAATAAGTGTGACGTGGTGCTGAGAAGAATGTATATTCTGTTGATTTGGGGTAGAGAGTTCTGTAGACGTCTATTAGGTCTGCTTGGTGCAAAGCTGAGTTCAGGTCCTAGATATCTCTGTTAACCTTCTGTTTTGTTGATCTGTCTAATGTTGACAGTGGGATGTTAAAGTCTCCCATTATTATTGTGTGGGAGTCTAAGTCTCTTTGTAGGTCTCTAAGGACTTGCTTTATGAATCTGGTTGCTCCTGTATTGGGTGCATATATATTTAGGATAGTTAGCTCTTGTTGAATTGATCCCTTTACCATTATGCAATGGCCTTCTTTGTCTCTGGTTTAAAGTCTGTTTTATCAGAGACTAGGACTGCAACCCCTGCTCTTTTTTTTTTTTTTTTTTTTTTTCGCTTTCCATTTGCTTGGTAGATCTTCCTCCATCCCTTTATTTTGAGCCTATGTGCATCTCTGCACATGAGATGGGTCTCCTGAATACAGCACATTGATGGGTCTTGACTCTTTATCCAATTTGCCAGTCTTTCTTTTAATTGGGGCATTTAGCCCATTTACATTTAAGGTTAATATTGTTATATGTAAATTTGATCCTCTCATTATGATGTTCGCTGGTTATTTTGCCCATTAATTGATGCAGTTTCTTCATAGCATTGATGGTCTTTACAATTTGGCATTTTTTTGCAGCGGCTAGTACCGGTTGTTCCTTTCCATGTTTAGTGCTTCCTTCAGGAGCTCTTGTAAGGCAGGCCTGGTGGTGACAAAATCTCTCAGCATTTGCTTGTCTGTAAAGGATTTTATTTCTCCTTCACTTATGAAGCTTAGTTTAGCTGGATATGAAATTCTGGATTGAAAATTCTTTGCTTTAAGCATGCTGAATATTGGCCC